CTGTATTTTTCCTCGCGGCCTCGCCTGAAACAAAGCTTCATTGCGTTTTGTAACAAAGAACCAAAAGCCAATGAGAAAGACCACGACCTGCTGGATGTCCTCCATTGTTGCTCTTAGTTTACTGTGTCACGGTCTTCTTCTTCGTCTAATTTATTTGCGGGGTACACTGTGTCGCGCTGCTATGATGTCACGCTATTACGTAGCTGTCGGGATATTGGCATCAGGCTTACACGCCGCCTACCAAAAAAAAAAAAAGAGTACGGTAACTACGGTTGGCTGTGGAAACGCAAACAGGATCAGGCTTTACCGATCCAAACTGTACCAAACTGTACTGAACCATACTGGACCGCTCGGTGGAAACAGGGCTTTTGTGAACCAGAAACCACCAGAGTTCAGTGACAAAGTCCTATAATCATCCAAACTTGAGGCACATCAAGGGTCACAAATATATGTTAGTATAATTACTTCAATCCCAAGTTTGTGTTCCCGTGCAGAGCAGAAGTTTAGTCCTTGTCATTATGATCCCTATTGTCTCTGACAGCCTAAGTGGTGAGGCAGCACCTGTTAGCAGCCACATAATAACACACACGCACACAAACCTCTCAATTCTATTTACCCATCATCTTCAACATCATCATCATCATCGCTCACTTTAAATGAAGCCCTCTTATCTCAACTGTACTCCACATTATACACACACACACACACAGCCTGCACTTCCTCCTCCACTCGAGCGGAGAGGTATCACTTTTCTACTGCAGCCTGTCTCTCAACTCACTGCTGCTTTGTCGGGGAAATCGGAGACAAGGGAGGCACTTTGTTGAGCCTGGAACAAAACAAAACTCTTAACGATACAAAAAAATTAAAAAGAGAAGAGGTCAGTGTTTTTACAGTTCACACAAAGAAAGACCAAAATTAATATGAAAGCAAGTGAGATAGAAGGAGAATCTAATTATTAAATGTAGGTTTTCCCCTTTTCATGCTTCATCATGTGTCGTTACAGGGAAGTTAAGTTCTGCAGAAGTGAAAAACAACAGAATAAGAAGCAGCTTACATGTCATGCAAAACAATACTGCATTATATGTTATCCAGTTTGTTTTAGCAAACCAAACCCTGACATGTCATTTTGGTCACAAACACAACCAAAGCACACAATCAATTCTGCTGTTTGTCTGACCTGAAAGTACTTTTTCAGTGAGGAGCCTCTGACTTGGTACACATCAGGAGGGAGCCGCCTGGTTCATGAACTCTGCAGATGCTAAATAAACAACCCTTTCAGTCTGGAGATATTCAGCTGCTGGCTCAGAGAAGAGACTGAAGCCATCGTTGATCAACATGTTACTGTTTTATGATCTGTTGAAAAAATGTAAACCCAAATCACTTTGCTACAATATTACCAAGCTACACCTCCAGGTGCCAATAGGGGGAAGGCATGTTTGTATTACACTGAATCCTTTGGAAATTCTTAAGATAACATTTTCTTGGATGTAACGTCATCATTTGGCTGAGAAAGTCCAGAGACTCTGGATGAGTCAGTGGAGGAGTACATGGCTGTTATCTTCACTGTCAATAAGATAATGTCAAGGCTGAAAATGATCTCCTCATGAAAATGAGCAGATCTTTTTAGCAGACATCTTCTTTTTTGTAAAAACTGCTTTTTTTGCCAGTCATGTGTATGTGACTTCTGGTGTTCCTGGAGCCAGCCTCAAGTGGACACTCGAGGAACTGCAAGTTTGGGGTGTTTTGCATTATGTGCTTTTACAAGAATGCAAATGTTATAACTGCTTTTAACTTCATGATCCTCTCCTCCGCTACAATATCTCCTTCACCCTGGGAGGGTTAAACACACCACATGCCATAACGAAGACACATTATTCAGTATGATCAAGTTGTGTTACTGCAGACGTCACACACCTGTGTTAGAATATATGTAGTAACAGAACATACACACACACATTACACAAGCTTTCTGGCTCCGCCTTCACCGACCCTGACATCACTGATACTTCTCTTTAACAAAGTGCACACCAGGAGAAAGCATAAACATTGTGTATTTAAGTTCTTATTCACAAACGTCATGCACATTGACTCTCCATTTGGGAGATTTTTCCTCCCTTTTTCCTTTCCTTTTTTCCTAGATAATTTCTAGAGGTCTACAAAATCCTTCCCAGTCACAAAAGCTGAACACTCCCTGAGCAGATGGAAGTTCATCGAGTTCTATCACAGGAATGTGTTTCATTTCTTAATCAAATCAATATATTAACACATTTCCAGTCCAAATCATATCCACATTTCACATGAATCCAAGCACTAAGGTTGCCTTTTTTCAGCTAGAGAATGAATAGGTTGTAAACGGAGCATAAGCTCAGCAGAGACATGTTTTACAATATCAACCAGTGACAGAAGAAGACCGTAATAGAAGGCTTAAACATTCACACCAATCAAACTCACATGGAGATAAAGAAAGAATTCCTCCAGAAAAGACACAAAACAGCGAGGGAAGGAGGGGGAATGTAATGCTATCTGATTACAGAAAGTATAAATGACACAATGATTGAACAGAATTACTCGCTTGACCTGAACTAAACATGCTGCAGCCTGGCTGAGAGTGAGGCTGCATTAACATGGATTCAGACAGACATGACAGACAAATCGATAAACTTGTGTTTGATGGGAGCAGGACACGTGAGGCTGGTGGAGGATACATTTCTGTTCTTTTCAGTTTCATATTTTGACCAATGCTGCCCTGAAGAACACTTTTTGTAGACTAAAATATTTAGTTTGTTTTAACCCCAACCAGAGGGTGTTTTTTTGTGTGCCTGCCTGAAACGCAACAATTGTACTCTGTAGAAAAGGCAACTCGACTAAAAGGGTGCACAACACAAGAAGCTGACAGACCTATCACAGATCAGTGGGTGGGAACTCACTCCCAGAATCTAAACTTAACGTCCGCCATCTTGCTTGGAAGCTTTGCTAACAGGCTCCTTGGAGAAAGTGGAGAAGAACTAAAGTATGATCAAAGTAAGTTTCAACTTCAAACTGACATGGATGAAGGGGATTTTGAAAGTCTTGTGCTCGAATCGGATGTTCGTGGCTATATCTGCAATAGAATAGAATAGAATTACTTTATTGATCCAAAACTGGGAAATTGTGGCGTTACAGCAGCAGGTTATCCAAACACACAATATTAGCAAATAAACACAATATAATATTAAATACAAAGTAAATAAGCACAAAAAATATCAAAACTAAGAATGAGAATATATACAACCAGGATTTAACTAAGCATTACAAGCCGCAATATAGCGACAGGGCGGCTGCTGCCGACAGAAGACCTGTATTTATTAATCCAGGAACATAAAGGCCTTAACTGCTGTGAGGTCTCCATGCCCCCATATACCAGAGAGGGGCTTTGTGATCCTATAGACAGACTGTTTCATAAGCTAAGAACAAGATCCACAAGAACCTGTGAGGTAAAACAAACTACAGTACAGTGGACTAAGCTATAACGTAAATCCTATGCATTAGTGGTACCTTACCATGAGCCACTAAGTTTATTGTCATTCCAAACATTACACAACCTGCTCTTACTGTTTATTAGTTCCTCCCTACGCCTGAAGTTGTGCTACTCAGCAACACCAGCTGCTGCAGTGTTTGTGTGGGAGGAAATATGCTCCGTGTTGGACTGTTATAATTGAGAACCATCACTAAGTCAGCTAGCACTGTAAAGTAGTCTGAAACACGAGCTTAAGATTGCAAGCTGGCCTCTTGTATTACATTTGACCCCTATCTGACCTCTTCCCAGTTAGCTGATTGGGCTAAATGAGGTATTCTCTGACTGTGCAGAAGTTTTGGAGCATAAAGAAAAGCAGTGGGGTCCAGTTGGGAAACTCCCCTGAAGGAAGAAAGAATGATGTTACATTTTTACCAAAGATTGACTTTCTTTTAGAGTTATATCTCCAGGTTTGTTTTGACATTTCTGAGAGTAATAGTGCACAGATGGCTGATGATGCTCTACTTATTTTCTCTGGTAAAGAAGAATTAAATGTTAATGGACTTTTAACAGGTTAAAAAAAAACCCTGTAATATCAGGCAAACCCTGCCCCTGTCCTTTTGCTGACCGTTTGGCTTTCTGTTGTTTTGTTGAGTTAGCTCTCAGCATGATCCTGACAAATGATGGCCGACATTTCCTTTGTCGTTTCCCGTTGGACTGACAGCACGGTTTCTTTTGGCGATGTTCTCACAGAATATATAAACTTAATTATAACTAACAGAGAAAATATATCACCACTGAATCATCATAAAAGAGAAGATGGCCGACTGGTAATACACTGGAAACCAGCATTAAAACTGATGTTTGTTGACTTTGCATGTCACTCTCAGGTGGATGGGTCGGCGACTGCCTCACATGGCAGATTTTCTCCTCATGATTTTGGAGCTTTAACACTCAGTTCCCTCCATCGTGTAAAGAAGCAGCCTGTTCCACAGTGGCCCACTGGCACACAATACTCCTCTGTTCACAGGATGCCAAAAGGTCCAGTCATCGCCCTCCATGCCACCCCTCCCTACCCCTCCTCTGCTATCTGTGTCAGTCTTTTCTCTACGTATCTGTCTTTCCCTTCTGCTGATGCTTGGATGGATTAGCATCCAGCGGCTGAAGGGACAACTTCAGACAAAGAAAGAGTCGCTTTGTCTTTGGTGCCGCCGACCCAGGAAGTAAGAGAGGAAACTGGGAGGACAGAAAACGCATGACAAGAGCCTTTGTAATGACCAATTTTCAAGAGTTTCAGGGTTTTGGAGGAGCTATGAAAAACTGGCAGCATCCTGCTAGTTCATCAAAGTTCATAAACCCTCTGCAAATTCTTATTCTGCAAAAGAGAGGCTTTATCGGAAGCCAAATTCCACCTATTATGATGTGGTGGCATATCTTAAAAAGGATTCAAATACCTTAACTGGTGTTTAGATAAGCTCAGAAGTTATGCTGTTGGCAAATTACAAACCGTGATCAACCATGCTGGGATGTAAATCTGGTTTCTGTTTAGGTCTGAAACACATGAATGAAGACAAAGTTAACTATAGCTACTCATGTTTTGAGTTATCCGACAACACTTCAAAATACAACAACAGGCTTTTAACATATCATAGCATGAAGAGACTCTGTGACTCAGTGAACCTACAAACCTCATCCTGTGGAGTCTTATTTATTCAAACTCTATTCAAAACTTAACCAGCTCCACAAACGCCACAAAGATATGGTCCTTATCATTCCAGACGCAGTAAACTGCTCCTGCACACTTTTGTTTGAACACCATGTGTCCTCTGTTATCCAAAGCTTACTTTAAATATCACATGTTAAATCCACCAGGGACAAACCTCCACACAGAGGCCTCTGCATGAGGACACTTAGTAATTAGTGGCGAGCAAAGGGAGGAGTTAGCAGAGGAGGGCGTCATTTGATATGAGGACACCCTATGATTGGCTGCGGGGAGTGATTACAGCTGCTTTAACCTAAAGAAGTTTCCTAAAGAAAAAGCAGATACCAAATTACATCCGTAGTACCAAAGGCTCAAATTATGGCAGCAGCACATGTTGGGTATGTTTTATCTACGCCATCTGAAAGCAGCTTTTGGATGTTTTTAGACATGTGGTAAAACTGATTGTCATTTATTTGTCTTTCATTTTTTTTCTTTTTTTTTAGAAATGTGTGTTGACGCAACAAATAAAGTTAAGCCAGCAGCAGTTTAGGTCGGGTGGTTAGGAGACGCTTCAGGTTAGGTGTAATGTGAGATTGACTTAAAGGATGAATAGCCTATACAAAAAACATCAACACACTGTTACACAGTTTTGAGCCATCAAAGCAGCTAACTTGAGATGGAGGAGGCAACCAATAAAGTGTTAGAAAGCAAATGTTCAGGGTTTAATCACTCTCCAATGAATAAGTGTTCATCCATAAAAATGTTGCATGTTGCACTAATCAAAAGTTTGTTACAGCTGACTCTGTTGCTTCGTCCTTGCGGTGATGATATCCTGCTGCGTTCTCACATCAGCTCACTGCGGATAGCTTAGCTGAGCTAGCCTCTGGTAGACATGGAATGATAACTCCGGTGGCGGTGAAGCACTTTGAGTGCAGGCTGATGCATGGCAAGGGTAGAGAACACACATGGAACCAGTAAGGCATTTGATTGGTACTTTCCATCCAGACCTGCACCAAAGTGATGGGTCAGAGTTCCCAAAGGATTACAGCTAGAGACGACAGCTGTTTTTCAGTCCTTTTTCAGAGCACACGATTTATTGATCGTCGTCGAGATTAATGGAGGTGTATCTTACCGTTTGTTCATTTATTCCCTGTGTTTCTTACTTGACTGATGAGTTGTAAAATCAGTTAACAGGTTCAAGCCATCTGATCGGCTTTTCCAAAGCTGCATTATCGGAAACTCTCTCTGTCATCTCAGAAGAAATGATGAGACTGATCCTGTTAACCAGATTTGGTCCAAGTCTTACTACTGCAGGTTTTGAGCCTCTAGAGTTAGAACTGGATGACTAAGATGGACATGTAAGTAATAGTGGACATGAGGAGGAGAATGTGTGATTTTAAAGTAACTTACACAATATATAGGGCATAGAGTCTCAGTGGTTTAGATAGCCCACACTCCCACCTCTTGTCTGCCATCAACCAGACTGAATAGTTCAAATCACCAGGGCCAAACCATCAAAGAGTGATGATTGCATAGTTAATGGTTGTAATGGGTTGTTGTGTAGGGGTATTCACAGTTAAACTGCTGTAATTGCACTCAATGAGCAACGGGGGAATAGACAGAGTGTGCCAAGAGGACTATAGAAGAATGAACACTTGTCCTATACATGTACACACAAATATGGACACACAGAAGCCACCCAACATGCTTTCAAGTCCAGAGACAAAAGCATGCATTCACACACAACACACACAACACACACACACACAGACCTCCTTTTGCCGATCAAACATTAACGTGTTGTGCAGTGGTTGTAAGGCAAATTAGAGAGGCAGAACAGGCACAGGAAAATACAGCCTGAGGGGGGTCTGCGGCCAGGAGGAGGTGGCAGGAGACACAGCAACAAGTGTACAGAGCTACAGCTGACACAACTTGAGACAGCCGGCACACAAAGGGGGAATTAAGTCCCTCGAAAACCAGTGCTGCTGTCTGGAAAGACTCCCTGCCAACTTAGAGAATACAGGCGGCTGAAAAAAAATACTTCTACTTCTCAGCACTATTTCCAAAGACTAGAGGCCTCTGCAAGACCCCACCCAGTGTTTTATGAACGAGCATACCAAACAACTCAGACTACTTTCTTTCTGCTGCAAGTCATGAAATCATTGATTGTGCAGTAGCAAGGTCAATAGTGCAAGGTTGAGTCGACAGACATCTGGAAACGAGACATGGTTAACTGACTGCAGCCACCCACAGAGTTAATGTGTCTCAACAGTATTACCCCAATCTTCCACCAGATATGTGTGCATTGCGAGTCCGCTACATTAGGGCTCTGTGCACCCTCGTCCATCAACACCCACAGGCTGCGTTCTCAGTGCGCAGCACAGGGCAGCACAGCCGGACAAACGAGTTCCACTTCCAACTGTGCAAGACAATATGATGTATGCGGTATAAAACTCTATATAAACCTCATAAACACATAAACAAACACACATACGGTCGTTGTTCTGAATCGTCAAAATGGAGTGTTTTCTTCTGAAAATCAACCGGATGTTTTGATGTTGTTTTGGTGTCTAACTTCCCGTCCCCCTCTTATCTTTTCGGAGGTAAATTGATGCCCCGAGCTCCTTCATCCGTCAGATGAAGCTACCGTCAGATTGTGTTTGTCAGTTCAGCGGTGAAAAAAAAATAATAATTTGGATTTACTTTTGATTTGGAAAAGCTGCAACCACCCGTGTCCTGTAAAACATGAGGAACAGCAGTAAGACATACTGTGCTTTATAGCAAATAATCTCTTTTATTTTTGTTTATTTATCACATTATTTATCGTTAACAGAGGACAATGTAATAGCACATCAGGTATTTTGTCCTGTACTGCAGCCCTACAGTATTTCACATCTAAAACTAATTATTAATCTGCAAAACCCCTCATCATTTTGTCACAACTGATATCTGAAAATGATTCATCAGTCCAGATATAAACCATGCAGCCAACTAAGCAAAATCCAACATCAGTGATGATTCTTTACCGTAATGTTACTTTCACCTTACTTTACAGCTCTCTCTAAACGGCTATTATAATGCTTAAAAAAATAACTCCTACCTCCATCATGTCATGCAGGCCAGTTCATAACGTCTCTCACAGTAGCAAGTAAAGAGCAGATGGTGGTGACATCAGTGTGTAGTGTATTACAACATAACTGGGTTCTCATTTCCAGGAGATGAATTACAGTTGATCTCATGGTCAAGTTACTGTCACTGTCATCTTTAGAGATCAAGGCGTGGAAGAAAAACATGTGTCACAGCACTGGTGTACGGTAACTAAGCTCCCCAAGCACCCCAAATATCAACACAGGCTACATGAATACTGCGACCTCGAGGTCCATTAATACAGCACCGGATACTCGTCACTGGCAGGCGACACAGATCCTCTAATGCTGATGCCACAAACTGGGAGCTGTGAGGTCGGGTGGCAAAAATACCGACCTTATTTTCAAACATATTGCACTTATTTGTATGCTGAATTCAGAGGTCCCTTAAATACATTTTCCCCTGGCATCAGCATTCACCAACTACAATTACACATATGTTGAGGTTGCTGTGATTTACAGGACAGCCACAAACAAGCAAAAAACGTCAGCCTATTTTGGCTCTGCTCACTCAAAGTATGTTGAATTATTCACAGGGCTGCCATAAGGAGAATGAGTGTAGTAATGCTAGGCAGGACCCGTGCATGGAAAACCCTCATAAATAAAACAGCATTAGACAAATAAACTGGGGTCAGTCAAGTGAACCCACTCCCCTCCCTATGGAAGACTATAGCCTCCACTAACAACGGACAAATTGGTTACAAGCTGTTAGGCCTACAGTGCGTCTCCTCTTGGTTGGGCAACATTTTCTTTAAACAATGTGTGTTGCTTAAAACAATGGACTCACAAAATGCCCCAAACATATAATTTGCAAAAATGACGATCAATGCATTTTTTGTTTACAACAGCAGCTTGTTGTACAACTGTGTTTCCAAATGCAAACCACACAGTTACGCTCCAGACGTAGCCGAAAAAGACGAACACTGTTCTTTACAGGACGAGATTTAAAGTTCTTCATATTTACGATGAGAATGGTTTTAAACCCGGAACCTGGATTGTTTTAATACTTTCTGGTCTTGAAAGATTTCAACCAAGATCACTTCGGTCAAAATTTGCTGCAATGGATGTCATTTTTACTGGGGTGGGGGGGGTTCACGTCTTATCAGGCTTCATTTTTAACTTCTTCTTCTTCTTCTTCTTTGGCCATTTAACTTACTTTGTTGTTGCTTCATCATGACTTCACACAGTGAAACTTTTTGCCATAAGCAGCACTGTCAGGAGTCATGCATGACGTAGTGATGCAGTCAGTCTAAATTTAAATTTAAATATAGACATTCACAAGCAATTTCCTAATCATAATAATGTGTATTTTGTCCCATCCCTTATTCTTAGTGTCAAATAACACATCAGAAAGGATCCCCATGGAGAATGGCCTACAGATTTTTAAGAAGAAGAAATACTTTATCGATCCCTCAAGGGGAAGTACATTTTTTACACTCTGTTATTGAGACATGCTTCACACAGTTAGAATGAATACACACATGCACAATCTGAATCCCATGGATATGCACTATGCCTTGCTCAAAGGCACCTTTAGGAAGAGATCTTGCACCTCTCCAGCTAACAGATCAATTTCCAGCAACTTTCATGTTCTGTAAGGAAAGAATTACAATTTCAAGGAATTGAGTCAGGCAACTTCGAAGAAAGCAGTGTAACAGATGTAAAAAAAAAAAGGGATAATCCTCAGAAACAAAAGGTTTTCA